TTCAGGAGAATGGTACGACTGGCCATAGCCCCAGAGCCCAAAAGAACATCTACGGAAGAGCCTGATGTAGAGATGAAGGATGGCGAAGCCGACCCTGCGAGTACCACTCCAGGAGTCGAGGAGCCTGAACCACCTACGCCTGAGCTTGATCCGCAAGACTACAAGGATGGGGAAGGTCGTTCAGTATCCCCGACGAAAACATGGTCGCACTACCCGACATCGAATCCAGATACTGAAGAACGGAAAAGAGCTGCCAAGCGCAGTGGGCAAGGTACAGCAACCGCTTCCAACTGGAAAACCGCCTATGACAACCTCAGAAGGGTCAGAGCACGCGCAGTGAGCCAAAAGGTGTGCTATTGTTGTGGTTCAAACCAACATCACCTGGCTATTTGTCCCAACACTGAGAAGAAGGACGAGTTGATGAACTCATTCTCTCACATGGAGGACACTATGCGCAAGTGCTTCACCGAGGACGACAAGGCAATCATCCGACGTGATGTTGAAAGCCGAAAGAGGAAAGCAAAGTCATCCAAAGACGTCGAAGACGAGGACTACATGGATGTGGATGATGAAGATATTGAACTTCCCGAAGAAGAGCCGGAACTAGGAGGTAAGGTACCACCTCACTCTCCGAGAGCCAAAGGTAGACCACAATCGTCAGACTCTGCAAAAGAGGAATACGCGAAAGCGGTCGAGGCAACCAAGAAGGCCTTTGGGAACGCCAGTTTCGTCACCAGATTCAAAGAGCCCGTCGACCTCTTTGACATTGCCGATGACAAAGAAGGAGGAGAGTACAGGGTCGCAAATCACAGGGTTGATAGATCAGGTCCTAATGGAAAGTGGGAACTTGATGCACTTATTCAGGAGGCTGCAGCACTCGGAATAAAGATGCCCAAAGTGAAGGACCTTGCTCCTGACCCACAACAAGTTCAAAAGGTTGGATATCGGCAGATTGAGGTGACTTGCGATAGAGGAAGCATCGAGATAATTCCACAGTATGGAGTTACATTCTATGTGGAGTACTGGAATGGACCGAAGAGAGATGCAACTTTCACGGATCCACCAAAGATGAACCCAGCAACTCGCATCGACAAGTTCAGCGAGGAGAGTCAGCGGGTCAACGAGGTTAGCCATAGACTCAATAGACTACTCAGGCATGGAGTGGGAAAGCATAATGGGATTCAATCGCACCGCGGTCGAAAACCTCATGTGTCCCCGAAGTGCAATGAGGGTGGATGGGTGAACATCGATGAGATCCTGGAATATGACCATGTCTTCAACGATGGTGTCGATATCAGTACTATCTCAGGTGATCGGCATCGTCAAGATGTCAAGACAGAGCGATACCAGTATTTATGCAAGGCGATGTGGCATGCAAAGAAGTTGCAGAACAGAGTACGCTATCAGATTGCCGCCATTCGTATCTCAAGGGAGGATGTCTCACTCGAAGAGGAAAGGCAATACTGGGCAAACCTCATGTACTACAGCACAGATGCACCGTCATTTCTGAAGCATGAACGTTGGATCGTTCCTTGTGCAATTCGAGCTGTTGCCTCTCACAATTCTGGAAGAGAGACTGTTCTTGAAGAGGATGTGTCAATATATCCTGTGTGGACTTCACATCTCATTCCAGAGAATGTGGCAATGCAGCTTGGAGGAAGCTTTCACATGACATCGCTTTCCAATATTGAGTCAATCATGAAACTAGGAATTGTCCCTGGTGGAACGGAGGGATATAGAGGTAGTGTCTTCTTCAACCACTTTGCGCCGTGGGATGATCGATCATCAAAGATTCTGAGATGAAGATGGCCAAGAGTGGGAATGCCCGTTTGCCTTTATGTTCCAATCATGACTTTGAGGAAGCTTGGGGGAAGAATTTCGGAGAATTCCTACACTGTTGTTTTTAGAGAAGTTCCATGGAGATGTGTACGAAGTTCCATGGAGATGTGTATGAGGTGCTTGGTATTGGGACGACTACGTTCAGGCATGGAGGAGACTCCTGCTGGGAAGCACTGGAGAGCAAGTTGTTCTAGCGGCACGTCATGGACTTTGGGTTGCTCAGAAGCATACCATCCTCGAGAGAGCCGACGAAGTCACGAAGTCAGCCTCGGCGACAGATGACAACGTCCAAAAGCTCGTGTCCCTTATCGATGAAGTACAATTCGATGACAATGGAGAGCTGATCGAGGATTCCATCAGTGAGGAAACTTGGGACGAAATCATCTCCAGAACATGTGAAGGGTATCGCAACGTGGATGGCAATATTTTGTGTCCATCATGTATGCATTTGACTTCTTCATCTTTGTCCGTGTGTCTGTCTTGTCAAGGCAGGCTACTCTCGTGTGGTATTCGCAACACTGTCATTTCCGATTCACCCGTTGATCTTGTGAGCGACGATGAAGAGGAAAAGAAGGAAGAGAAGGAGCCTGAAGATGATGATCAAGATATCTTGGACCAGGCCACTATGGACGAGATCAGAAAGGCTTGGGAAGAAGACATCGCTCAAACTGAAGCAGCTGACGACGACGAGGACATGGACAATCTAGATCCTTCCAAACCGTCTGATGGTGCAGAAAACTTCAAGAGTGACAATGTCGAGACCCCATCTTTCAATGAGGACGAGATCGACTACGGTCGTGATTCTGATCTAGAAGATGAAGACGAACGAAATGTGATCATCGAGATCCAGAGGAGCACACAACAATATGAGGGGAAGAAACGTCAAGATGGTGAACCCGAGGATGAAGACGTCACCGACGACTTACATCCGGAGGCGAATCGACCGACAGATCGTGATGAACCGGGATACTATGCACAGCATGGAGCGACCGAGTTCAATCCCGAAGAAGGAAGAGACAACGAAGATCTCCCCATCTATTGTCGAGTACCGGAACCTCGAATCTATGCGCATCAAGAGAGAGCCTACTGTCAGGACGTCTCCATGAATGCATCGGGTTTGATGGATAGGTATGTGGTCAAATGTGTGCTGAACATGATCTCCCTGATGTACAAGAGCTACTATTGCACCAGCCTTACCGACTTCAAAGCAAATTGGAAAAGGAAGCGACTGGATGTGATAAGCAAGTTCGGTACAGGGGATTCCACTGAAATCGATGACGATGGGAGACCATTGGATCCAACAGATGACATGATGTTAATCTTTGCCAACGACAACAATATTACGACTGAGGAGGCCTGGCACCGATTCAGAGGAGAGCAATTCATTTGCAAGGTGGCACTCGTGATCCTATCATTTGGTCATACTCCGCAATCCTTCAAGAAGGAATATGGCAACTTCGAACACTCCACCGACTTGACTGATGCCCAGCTTGAGGAGTTGAAAGCGAAGAAAGCCAGCGCAATGACTGAATTGGTACAGAAGTGCATCCATGCGATTTATGGTTGTCGGACATATTCTTACTTTAGAACCGACGTTACATCACCCAACCACAAGGTGATCGATCCTCTGGACATCATGTACTCGAGAATGAAGAGCAAATGGGAGAAGTCTATTCTGCTGATCATTGATCAACATGAGATCAGGTTGCCCCCACACGCTCAGAATGTCGTAGAGTCAATGGCCAGAAATCCCAACATTGGACATACAGAGAGATGGATGAGCGTGGTAGAACAGAAGCATGTTCAAGCTCTTACCGATCGTCTAGGCTTTGGAGATAGGGCCAAGGAGATTCAGGGCAAGAAGAAGCAGGCAGCCAAGGCGACAGCTAAGTCAACATCAACGACTAAGTCTGAAGCGAAAGCAGCATCTTCGTCAAGAGCAGAGGCAAAGCCAGCATCTACACCCAGAACCGAGGCCAAGCCGTCGTCAGCACCAAGTGAGGAGCCAAAACCTTCAACAGCACCTAAGAGTTTCGGGTCCTCATCAGCAGAGGAGAACAAGGCGAAGGCTGCTCCAAAAGCCAGACCACATGATAAATCACCATCCAGTGCTACCGATGTGTTTGAGCAAGCTTTGCAGGAAGATCTTGCCGCCAACGCACATGCAGCAGAAGGTACAACTTCTTCATCATCCCGAGGACATTCCAAAGGAGGAGGCCAATCTGGAACATCTTGGAGGCCGGCGCTAACGCAAGAACGTCGCGAAGTACCTCAACCTTCTGAAAAGGGGAAGGGAAAGAGCAAGTCCAAGGGAAAGTCCAAGAAGGGAGAAGATGATCGGTGGGATGCTCAGGGCAGCTGGGATCATCGTGGATGGAGAGGTTATCGACAGTGGTGATTTCTTTGAACGACTATGAGGATACCATGCAAACCAGGGAGGAAGTCATTCACCGGATGTCTATCTGATCTGAAACGCTGTAAGTGTATCATTGCAAATCATCGGATTGACGATTTGATACCATGAGCATAATGGAAGGTAGACAGTCACCGACTGTCTCTCCGACTTGCCGTTCTGTAAGTGTATCCAAACCAAAACCTACATCTTTTGAGAAGTGTGAAGTCAGTCGCCGATGTGACATCTACGTGGAAGTCACCAGTTCGGATCTACATCAAAGCGATGCTCTTTTGAGTGGATACTGAGCGAGGCCTCGTGACTGTCTCACTTGTTCAATTCGATTTTTCATAGGTTCTGAGCCATAGTTGCACACTTTATATGTAAAAGTCCGCTTTAGTCCAGCATGTTTCGTAGTATGAGCCTCATATGAGTCTCGCGGCAAATCATACAATTCCTTTTGTAGCACTTACATCCCTAAATTTTCGTGTGTGATCGGAACATATTGTTGCCGTTCACATGGGGGGTGCGAATGGAAGTGCAGCGACACGTACAGTGCAACTTGTACATATATATGTACCATATGTACTTTGGCTCAAGGATCAAGCGACTAGAAAAGGTGCGGTTTCCGTTCCGACGCTACGCCGCTTATGGACCGTCAGTGATAGCTTCAAACTTCGCTGATTAAGATCCACTCGCATTGAAAAACATTTCCATTTACCTGTATACCTGTTCCTTTCTTCAACCTGCGGTGAAGGTGTCACCCAAGGTGGCGATGACTTGCCCAAGCGCATCGCTGAGCTGTTGCGAAACCGCCAGGCGTGGTTTCGCGCGCTGCTTCGGTCGGGGGCGGGCCGGGTTCTCCGATTTTTCTCAGATCCTTCAGATCATAAGTGCCAGAATTGATCTACCCTTATCAAAATACTGTGCTCTCCTTGGAGGAAGCCTGTGTTCAAATTTAAACAAGAAAAAAACACACAATAACAATAATAGTAGTCGGTGCCAAAAGTCAAAAATCCTGGCCTTACCATATGAAAGTATTTTATAAATCTAACCAGTAGGATACCTACTATAGGATGAAATGCTGCAGGTGACACAGATAGCTGAAAACCTGATGCGCCTAATGCGTTACTGAGGATAACCTTGAAGTGTGTTCCGTTTTGTCTATTTTCCCGGGGGAGGGAAACTGAGGGAGTCAGATCAGATTGTGACCACGCAGCAGAACAGGAAAGTCACCAGGTTCCTGACTCAAGCACTTGCAAGCTCTAGGACCTTAGGAAGTATAGCAGCAGTAGCTGTAATAAACACATTATTTGATAAAGAGGTTTGGCTCCAGACCTAATAAGGAAATATCATTTTAAAAAACACATATCCTGTATATATACAGGTCGGTGAGAAGAAGAAACAAAGACTCGATAGTGAGTCGATTGTGACCATTGCTGGACGATGCTGGACCTCTCCCGGACCCCGCACGTGATCCGTCCGATTCCGTCCGTGCCAGGTGGCGCTGCGCACCTGGTACATCGCAGGGAATCGCATCACGTCCGAGGGCTTGGCGCCCCTCTGTGAGGTGCTCGCAGGCGGAGCGTTTTTGTTCCTCGCACGCGGAAGGAAGAAGGGTTCGGCTTTGGACGAGTTGGGATTGGTTTGAGTGGGGATGAGTGGGGTAATTGGAGAGAACTTGGACAAAGAAGGCCAGGTCAAAAGTTCTTGTGTTGGGCTCACACTATTGGCCAGCTTGCAGGCGCAGGCAGGAACTTCTTGGGGTGCATTGAATAGGAACTCGTGCAACGTTCTGAGTTGAGGTGAACTTTGGAGGTGGACAGTTGAATGTGTTTTTCATAAAGCAGCTCATTGAAACACATTGAAGCCACCCTCACCCTATAGCTCTCTTCTCCCTTTAGCAGAAGATAACGGTGTTTTGATGTCTTTTGCACCACTCCAAGTCATATCCACCCAGATCCAGCCACACACCCCGCACCGAGGCTTCGATCGCCGGGTTCGATCGACTCGCCGCCGCTGGCGCCAGACGACACCTTGGTGGAGCAGCTCTGGTTGAAGCGCAACCCTCTCCACGCTTCTGGTGCAGGTTGGTGCGCCGAGCCGGAGGGAGAGGGTTGCGTCAAGTAGATAGATTAGATAGCGATACTGTGGTTGATTCTGCCATTTCAGACATGTAAGTCTTTCAAACATTCACTTTCCAGAAGGGGGCAGCACTGCTGAAACAAGGCCGGGCCCAGTGGTCCTGTTCTGCTGGGAAGACGATGAAAACTGACGCCGGGACTTCCGTGGTGGGGTGCGGCTTCACGGTAGTTCCAGGGTGTCCATGATTCACTGACTTACACGAATTGAACACCACCCCTTTGCAACAGGTCTTGGTACCCATATTTGTTCTGGATACTTGGAGGATCCAGGTAGCAAGCAGCCCATGTTGCCTCATGATCATTTGTGGCGAGGTTTGCTGTCATCCATGCTCCGAACGAATCGCTCACTCAAAGTGCTGGACCTGGTGAATTGCGGCCTGCCGCTCGGATGGGCACGCCGGTCGGACGCCTGTAGCCCTCAAACACAAGCACTAACCTCCGGTGTCATGGACTGGGTTGGGGCAAGGCCAGTAGGGATACCAGCGGTTTGCCGGGCAACCATCTAATCCAGTTCTCTTGTTCTTTAAGGGATCTAAGCCTAAGCAGTCAATGTATCACTATCACCTAATCGTTTGCTGGTCCTCCGTTTTCATCCTCATCAGCACCTCATCCCAACCTCTTGTTTGGCTTCGACACTTCTACACCGGTCTACGCCTCACCCTGGCAATGTGGGAATGGCTCAGTAGCAACCCTGACCTTCCAGGTAGGTCAACCATTTCCCAGACACTCCATGTATGCCGTATATGCCTACATTGACCTCCAAAACCACCCCAACTGATCGGCATATATGGCAGCCCCATTAGTCGTGTTTGGTTTTGGGTTTTCCACCACATCTCATCCTCCTACCCCCTTCGTGGGTCCTGGCATCCCACCGCTCCGCGCGACCAAGGATGGACCAAGGGGTAGAGCAGTTGCTCCCGGGTCTCGCGGAGTCCAGTGTCTTGGTGTGGGAACGAGAACGATAAAGTGCATTTGCTGCACATCGGAGTAGAAGAATGAGAAACTCAGATTTACCTTCTTTTTGGGGGGTTGCTGGGCGTGTGTCCAAATGACAGAGGCCACCGCCATGAAGTGCTAAGAGAGGATGTGGGTGGCTTTGGGCACATTTCTGCAACCCTAGGATGCCTCGAAAAATCCTAAGTGCCTCCTTTGAAGATGTTTGCACCTTTCAGCCCTACACAAAGGGTGTCTCCAATCACCCCTTTAGGGAGGTCTGTGGGTCCAGAATGGTCGACACCTGAGGCCTGCAGCACTTATACCTCGACGGAAACGGCCTCACGGCGGCCGTGGCCAAGGAGGTCACATTGGCAGGCGCGCGCGCGCGGACGCTCGCGTCGACGCTCGCGGCGCGAGCGTCGGAGCCGAGTCAGGTTCGATCGCTCCTTGTTTGGTCCCTTTTCCCCAGTCTCCCCGGGTCTTGATCGAAGCTCGAGCTGGATCGATGTTGGGGAAACGGGGAGCACTGGGTCGTGCCTGGTTTTGGACATTTTTAGACCAATTGTGCGATATTTTGGGGGGGTTGGAGGGGTGAGAGAAGGGATGGATGCATGGAATCCTGGAGTTCGTTGCTCTTTTTAGGAGAGAACCATTTGCATCATTGAACTGTCCTTACCCAGACGCTCCATGGAACTGTCATATATGCCTATAGGCAGGCATAGATTTGGATTCCATACATGGAGTGTATGGGTTATAATGTCTTAAACTTAGTTTTTGAATTGACACCTCTCTTGTGGCAGGCATACGCTTCTACAGAATGGACAGGTGGTGTTCAGTTTTGTTTTTGCTTTTCCAGACGCGTGCCTTGATGAAGCCAACCAAATCATCCCGCATTGGGTTGCTCGTGGATCCAGGTAAGAACCTTTTCACGTTGTCCTTGGGCATGAATCGGCTCTTTGATGTCGCCTGGAATGCCTTTCGATCAGGGTTGTTTGGAGATGTGGCTGCCTGGGTGGATTGAAATGCAGGGTGGAGCTGCGCTTTGTGGTATCATTTTCGTCACCATCATCCAGCAAGATGCAGCTCCCCAGCATCAATGCCAATGCATCCCGACATCACTTTGTTCATCGTTTTTCCTACAGAAGGCACCTCACACACACACACATCTAGTAGCACCTAGTAAACCTATATGACAATACTATATACACGGTATGTATTAACTAAATTTGCAATTATTTATGATATAGTGTTCAACCAAAAATCTCACAGCTCAGTTCAGACCTCCCAACCCCCCGGGACCTACCTACCTCCTCGCCTCTCGGTTCTTCTTCGACCCTCTCGCTGCACGGGAGATGTGCCGTGGCGGGTGAGTCGGTGCCGTCCGAGGAAGGTGCGCAGGCGGTGTGCGAACATTTGAGCCCTTCAGTACAACGTTTGTGCATGGCCTCTTGTGGCATGGGCATCTCTGGTGCTTCAGCCGTGGCCAAGCTCCTCACAGGTGTGGACGGTAAGAGTCAGTTGAGGGGTGGAAGGTCAGGAAGATCCAGGAAGGGGTCAAAAGGCGGGTTTTGATGGAAATTGATTCCAGGTGCCTGGCCTCACCCACCATAGCCATCCATATAAATATATATATATATATACACAGTATATATATAGCCTAGTAATGTCGACGTCGGACTAATCAACGGGCCCCCCCCTCCCCCCCCCTAGAAGGTCAACAGGGTCAACAAGGTCTGAGATTGGAGGTTTTGGAGATCACATCCCCCTAATAGTGGGGATGACCTGATGATGAAAGGGAATTAGTATTTGGAAGAATTGAAGGGTGGATCAGAATGCTATCTCTCAAGAGATGGCATGGGAAAAGAGTGGATCAGAAGATCAGTTTCACCATGGACCAAAAGATATTGAAAAGGCAAAAAGAACAACACTATATAATTAAACACACATATATATTTAAATAAATATATGTTTCCTGAGGGACAGGGGTAGACTAATGCGGGGGGGATTCAGCCAAGCAAAATTTTTATTAGAGGGTGGTGACTGTGGAATTCCATAGTTCAAATCAGTTTATTATTGGGGCCTGAACGCTGGGTAGACTAATAGGGGGGGTTGCCTAATCCTATGTTGACATTATATATGTCTATGTCGTTCTTCCTTTTCCTGCTCGGAGCGGAATCGCGCAGTGCAAAACAGCACCCCGGGCTGTAAAACAGCACCCTGGCTGTGCTTCGATGGCATTGACTCGTTGCTCCACCACCCGCACCGCAATGCATTCCCGGCCCGGCCGCCACGTGGGCCGGGAAGGCAACCGCACCTTGCGCTTCTTGGATTTGGGGCTCTTGAAGGCCACCAGCGCATTGGGGGAGGTCCCCAATCGCATCACGGATGACGCTTGGTGTGGACCACGTGTTGTCAAACTGGGATCGAGGAGTTTGTGTGGTGCCTAGCCAGGAAGAGTTGATAAGATCGGATATTCTTTTGGAACAGGTAGAGAAGTGGGTAACCCCGGGCCTTTGTTCCAGGGAAACGACTCCAAAGTCGTCGGTCCTGGGCCTCCATGAGGTACAGGCCAGTCTGGGTAGCCTAAGGTAGATTCATGTAGGCTCTTGATTTATAAACCTGGACCCTCCTGTTGGGGTGTCCTGGCTGGACTACCCCACACTGCCGGCCTAGGCTTCCAGAAAGGCACCCCTTGGAGGGTCCCGGAAGTCGCGGTGTTTGGTTTGTTTATAAAGCCTCTTCATATGCGGTGTTTTATTCATCAAGAGTCTACCTGATGCTTGGTGCTATCCCTGGTGGTCGAGCGGGTTTAAGCAGAACATCAGCCCAGCGCCCTTGCTTCCGCGGGTCATTTTGGTGCCAAGCAGCTTGTGATCTCACGCCCACCAGCGCTTGAAGTCATCTTCCATGTGTTTGTGGTCGACTCGAAACCTCTCCGAGGGGGTCGGCATCAGCCGTCCTTCCGTCCGCAGCGCCTATTTGACCCGTTCAGCCACGCCTCCCGAGCTCCGCCGTCCCCACAGCGTCCAGGAAGGCGCGACCCTCATCGGCAAGTCCTTAGAGGTCAACTCCACCTTGCACCTCGGCACCGGGCGTCCGTGGCGCATGGAAGCCATGTGGGTTGGTTGGGCTTCGCGCGTTTGAAAGGTCGCTGTTCATGACACATTCTTGGCTTCTGCCCTAGCCTATATAGCTCCATCCAATGTGTTCCTTTTTATTTGGCTCATCAAAACTCATGGTTTCAGGTTCCAGTGAAGCAACTTGACCATGTTGGCATACACTGCGAATTGCTGGGGTGGATGAGAGTCATGTTGGGAGTGAATGAGAGTGCTTTTATGTCCGTCAATGTTAGAACATGTTATATAGAACCCCCGGTCGCATACCTTAAGTACAAGAGCCTAAAGAGTGGTCAATGACAGAGCACATATTCGATGCTTTGATTCTTCAGCATTTTCTACACAATGTTTCTATTGAGGCAGTTCTGCCACAGATCCTCCCCATGAAGGCGGTTCCAGGCAAACCCTTCCAGTTCCAAGCTTTTCGCGCCTAGGAATGCTCTCCTGCTGGTGCACAACACCATCCACCAAGCTGGACTGAAAGCCATTCAGACCTCGATCAGCCAGAACTCCTCCATGGTTAAGCTACCCGGACACACAGTTCTTGGGTTCTTGGGCAACAGTCCTTGGACTCCTGACTCCTGACCCGTCCCCCCTTGACCGTGACACTCACTGCGCAGTGGTCGTCTCATCGAATGGACTTTATGATCCCAACGGTCCCTACATAGATGGGCACAATCCCCCCGCCGAGGACAGCTTTCTGTCCACCCCAGTCTTTGAGAAACCTTGCATTGTTCTCTCATTCGTAAATTTGCATGTGTCTACTAGGTTTGCTATAGTTTGCCATGTTTGGCCTTTGAGATCTCCGCTGGCCTCTGGCCTGTTCTGCAGAAAAGGCACATGTGTGATACTTCTCAGCCGCTGAAACTCACGACCCACAGGTTGGAATTGGAACAGCTGGGCATCGCCTACAACGAGCTCACACGTCTTTTGGTGCGATCGAAGTGGACCACCGATTTCGATTGTTTCCACACACTCATGGGCCCAGCTACACCACAGCCAAATCCACAGACCACAGCCATTCGTAGCTCAGACGGCACCGGGACCTCTCCGTTCGTCTTTTGGGACCTTTTGAGCCCTCTCAGCCGCGCCCGTCGGCACGTCGGCTTCACATCGGCACTCGGCACTGGGCGAAGCTTCGTTCGGGATAGCTGACATGCGTCCCCTCAGATGGGTGAAGTCCCCGTCTCGGAAGCACTTTTGGGGTCCAGTTCTTGAATTACGACCGAAGAATCCTGAAGAATCCAAAGATATAGTTCCTCCTCATTGAATCCAGGCTGTTCCTCCTCTTGCACCCTCGGGCTCGGCCCAGGGGAGGAGATCCGGCACACGCTGAACAAGAACCGCCGGAAGCTTCAGGAGGACCCTGAGGCGCTGAACGCACCCCCAATGCGCGACAGAGGGGTAGCAGATGGGCGGAAATCGTAAGGAGGTTGCCATCAGGAGTTGAGAGCAGATGGTAGCACTGCTCCCAAGACCGCCAGTGTTGGTGGCGGACATCATAGAAGACGTGCTAAACGGTCCTAGCAAACGGTGCTGTGGATTTAAACGGCAACCCAGCTCACCATCTATTTAGTAACTCCTTCATGGCCTGAGTGTCTAGATGGGTGAATGTTCAAGGACAACTTGACTTGAGGGGGGACTACGGCCCCACGGCCAGGAGTGGGCACGTGTTGAAGAGGCACTGGACCCAGTTCACTTGGAGGAGCCCGGTCGAAATCGACACTACTGGCCTGGGCCTCCAAGTACCTTCTGAGAAGGTGTTTGGGGTGGGTTTGGAGGGTCCAAATACCTTCTGAGGTACTTGGAGGCATAGGGTGAACCAAAGAAATCCTGCTGACTCAACAGCAGCACAGAGATGTAGCTCGGAACCTGGCAGGGACAGCAGGGACGACAAGGGGTGGAACCCGATCATCTGAGAACTCGGTAGCAGTTGCAAGCAGACGGCCCACAAAAACGCGAACATGCTGCCACGGGCCGACGCCTCGTTTTGGAACCTGGATTCGTCTCGTTTTGGAACCTAGATTCGTCTCGTTTTGGAACCTAGGAAGTGGTTTCTGGGAAGTGGTGTGGTTTCTGGGAAGTGGT